TTCTCATGGTAGGAAAGGAATTGTTGAGATATTACTACACGAGTCTCTGCCTCACTTTTCAATGAAAACCATCAAAAACCTATTTCTTCCATTAAAGGGATTTGTGTCAGATGTCTGTTGATCAGGTGCCACCTCCTCAGTGTGATTTGAATTAGGCAGAATTCTAAAGCCTGAAAGTTTGAAACTGATAGGTATAAAATGGACATGCAAATTGTATCATTTTGTGGCCAGGACCTAAAGAGCAGGAAGCACATCCACTAAATGAAGTTAAACAAATAATGCCTTTCCTCTCTGTGTTGTCTTTAAATTTGTCAGAGACATTTTAATTCCGAATTTAGTTATTACAGAATGCAGGCCACTAATAGTCCAGAGAGGTTATTAGGTAAATATGGGTAGCTAACAACCTCTCTCCTCCAGAATTTTCTCCTAAAAGGTGTAAACTGCCTTTCTAACCACTACAGCATTTTCCATCAAATAGTTTGAATTTGGGTTACCTGTTGAGCACCTGCCATGTTCCAGGCCCTCAGCTGAGTGTTGGTGATCCATCCGTGGATAAAGGTAGCTGTGGGTACCGGCCACTGAGTGTGAGAGCCTTAACTAACAAACATATGTGCAAGAAAGTTGAGTTGTTTTTTTTAATCAGTTATCAAATTATTAATTATTATATGTCTCAACACAGTGGAACATCATTAAATCCCCATGAAGGGATTGGAGTAAGGTGAATTTAAGCAGCTAAACTTCCCATTTTCTAGCACTCTTAAACATGGATTGTTTCACAAATACTTAAATAAGTCCCATTTGTCCTATGGGAGTGTCCTCTCCCCAACATCAGGAAAGAGCTACTGCCAGCCACTTGTTACACATATATTGCCTTGGAAATGTACCTTTTCCTGTTACCATAGCAACACCCTTGAGAATGACCTCAGCAGCTACTCAGAATCTTTCCCACAAAACAAATTATGGCTATAATTAACTCTCTGAATTTACCTTGCAATATAAATTTGTTCAGACCTCGGTGTTTATTTTTAAAAGGTTAAATGAGTGGAATAATCCAACACAAACCCATCCCCTATATTTCACTGAAGTTTGTCCTCAGAATATGAAATGCTTCAGTGGAAAGTACAGTTCAGTTAAAAGACTATTCTCTTACCTTTTCTCAAAATGTGACAAGGATCAACAAATGAGGATGCACTGGTCTTAGCTGAACTTCATTTCTAAGGGAATGTAGTGGCCTTTTTTCCCTATGTGAATGTGATATGCAGAAAATGCTGTGAGTCCCTTCCAACAGCCCTTTGAGCCCAGAGGAGAGCGCCGAGGCGCTTATGCAGGCAGAAACTCCATGCTGGCCCCTCCTTGGCAGTGGACAGTGCAGTTCTTGGCTGTCTACACATTTTACCTGCTTCAGAAATTGCAACCTATTTTCAATCCTTTGTACCTTCTGAGCCACCCAGATTTTCTTCTAGGAGAAAATCACTTGTGTGTCTTTTGTTTGGTTGGGAGCGTTGTTATTATTATTTTGTTTTTCTTCATCTAGTTTTGGGGTGTTTTGGTTTGGTTTTGGTTCTAGATGATGTATGTTGCAACTAGCAGAGCTAGATAGTTTCTTTCAGGCTTTTTCTTTTGTTAAACTAGATTAATTTAACTTTTTTGCCCCAAGTGAAGTGAGCCTTTCTCTCCACCATATACCAGAAGCAAAGCAAAAAGAATGACAAGTAAGAACTATAGCTCGCTTTTCAGTTAATCAGAAACATGTGGGACATGTCTAGTGGCCATTTCCTTCTCGTGAAATATGTTTAAACCTGGACAATGAACAGACAGAACAGGCTGGTAAGCAGAACTGTACTGCCACGCAAAAGGAGCAAAAGAAAGGCGAAGAGAAAACATGTTCTTGCAAGTATGAAAGTTTTAGATATTCAGCTAATATCTTAGTACCGTGGATTCACGGAGAGATACCTCTGACAATTTTTTCAGAGTAGCCTCTAAGCCCTTGTAAGTGGTTTTCCCGTTGCAGGTGTGTACTTGTGATTCCATCTTACCCAACCATGTTTTTCATGGAGCTCAGTTTATCCTTCTAAATTGGAGAGAAACTATCAGTTTCTACTGTACAATGTCACAGGTATTTTCTCACTTCATATGCTAGTTCTTTAGATTCTGTGGGAGTGGCAACGAGTAATCTGTTTGGTTCGTCTTCAGGAAACATTCACGATTTCCCTTTACCACAGAAACACCGCAGCACCTTATATACAAGAATGAGCAACCCTCTGTCTATGGCATTAAGTGAGTAGAAATAGTTTATTAAGCATTATATTTCTGAGCAGGCTTGCCAGTGTAAATGTAATGTTCTTTGATTCCTCTGAAATAACATCTTACATAGAGTAGTTAAGTAAATGGTGATCTTGTGGATTTCAAAATGTATGTCAGTTTCCAGTTTTTCAAATCAAGGAGGTGGTGAATCAGAAAACTCCATTTATACAGAGTAACCAGGTGATTTTGTGTATGTGATGGGGATAAGCTGGTTTGTCTGTAGAATGAGATACAGATCAACTCCCAGAATGTGGGCTTTTGACCCCATCAGATGACTCCAAGACCATGTCACCGATATTTATTGAAATTTCAGGTTCAGTTCATTTTTGCATTTCCTTCCTTCCTTTCACACCCATATTCTCCCAGCCTTTCCCTCTTTGTCCTCTAGGCAGTTTTATAGTAATTAAAGATATCAAGCTGGTTACTATTAGTCAGTCAAGAGCTAATTCCCATCTAACAAATCATTGATGTGTCTGGGCCCCTAAAATACGAATTAGTTGCTTTGCAATAGGAATTTCTAGGCTGATACTTTTTTGTCTTAAAGAATTGGGTTTTTTTTTTTTGTTTTTTTTTTCTCCTTTTTGTCTTTTTTACTGACCAGTAACGGGATCACAACCCTCGGTGTCGCGCCCGTACCGGGGACCGGCAACGGGATCGCAACCCTCAGTGTTGCGCCCACACCGCGCTCAGCCAGTGAGCGGGAACCGGTCTCCACATGGGATCCGAACCCTCGGCGGGAGCGCCGCCATACTCCCAAGCGGCGCACTCTCCAGTGTGCCACTGGGCTGGCCCTGTCTTAAAGAATTGATACATCTCCAAAGAGGCAGTAATTTTATTACTTTGTTAAAGTTAGGCTTAGACATACTATTTTATAATTTCATGAATCTTATGGACTCAACGTAATATCTCTTTTTAACACCATTTCAAATTTAAGGATATTATTCATATGGAAACACCACTAATAAAAATGGTATTTAAATGACATTGGAACCAAATCTCAGCATAGGAAATCCACCTATCCATCCAACAAATATGTGTTATGTACTATTTGTCTGGCACTCTTTTAGGTACTGTGACAGAAATACAGATGGGTAAAACAAAGTCCCGTACCCTGGGTGGGTCATATCAACTGAGCATTTGTGTTACTGCTGAGTTATAACCTGCCCTGCACCATACATTCCCTGCTGTGTATTCCACAGTTCACAGTCTTGTTTGTGGGCATAAAGGAGTTGAAGATCTAACTGCTTCCCAATTCTATTAATGGTTCCTTCCACCTTTTCCTTAAATCTTTTTCACGAGTTAGTTACTTTGTGTGTATACACTTTGTAGTTGTTTGTTTTGAAACCATGTCTGTGCTCCATGCTCACCAGGGCAAGAAGAGCAGAGGTACTCTTTGAAATCATGAAGCTACCACCCACTGCAGTCATTTTTACCTGATTGATTGCCATCAGTTCTATCAAATTATGCCATTCTCAGTGCTGCAAATTATTTTTTGCACTTTGATGGAATAAGAAGTGAATGGAATAAATGGCAAAATTATACCAATGGACAGCATAAGTGTGATTGTCTAGGGTTAGGGTTGGCAGAGATAACACAAGGCAGTTTCTTTGTGGTGAAAAAACAGCTATGTGTCCTCATTGTGGTGGTGATTACACAAATCTCTACATGTGATAAAACTTCATAGAACTGTATACCCCCAAATATATGTACACACTTGTGTACACACTCACACACCAGGGAACTTCAAAAAGTTTGTGGAAAGCTAGAATTAGAAGATAATACAAATCTTTACATGAACTTTTTTAAGTACCCTCGTGTATGTGTGTGTGTAGCAATGGGTAAAATTCAGGTAAGCTCTGTAGTTTAGTAATAATATTGTGTCAATGTCAGTTTCCTGATTTTGATAATGTACTATGGTTATGTAAAATGTTATCATTGGGGGAAGCTGGGGGAAGGGTACAGGGAAATTCTACATAACATTATTATAACTTCTTGTCAGTTTAAAATTATTTTAAAATAAAAAGCTTTAAAAAAAAAAGGAATGGAAAAGCATCATATAACCAGATAAATTTAAAGTTAAGGTGTGTTGACAAAACATTAGGAATATCTGATCTTAGACATTATTACTGCAGTAACTAGACATCTCATGGCTTCACATTAATCATGAATGACTTAGGCTTTGGACAGAATTTAGGATATGGTATCCTGCTGCCTTTTCTTAGGGGAATAAAGAAATTCATTCCAGGAAAAGACTCTGATGTTCAGCAGAAACGCAAAAAAATATGCATCCTGACCTTATGTGCAACTCTGTTATCTATTTATTCAAATTAAATTTGTAAAAATAATTCAAAAAACACTTGTTTTAAACTCTTGCTTTACCAACCAGACCTGCTGAACAAGTAGTGGGTAGGAGACTAATTTGGATTTCTTTTCCTTTTTCTTCCCCTCTTCATTTTTTGTATGGGTTCTAACTGATAATAAGAGAAGAAATGAGAAATGGTAAGTAGTAATCCATCGGTGGATAACCTTCCTCTGAGTAATGGAAGGTTGACTTGACCTTTCTTTTCCAAAACTTCTCTACCACTTTCTGATATTTTTCTTCTTCCTCATGACCCATTTGTGCCCTTCCCTTTCCATATAGACAGATTTGGTGTGATGGGGTCACTGACATTCTCATTGTGTCTTCCCTCCTCCAGCTATCTTAATGACTTGGACCGCGTAGCCGACCCTGCCTACCTGCCTACGCAACAAGATGTGCTTAGAGTTCGAGTCCCCACCACAGGGATCATCGAATACCCCTTTGACTTACAAAGTGTCATTTTCAGGTAGTAACTGAGTCCATAAAACCTACTTCCCAGCTTTTATGCCTTAAGTACATTTGGTGAACTCCATAAGTATTGAAATCATATGTAGGCTTTAAAATGATGTACCTTTCAACCAATTATTATCATTAGTTACACAAATAATATAACGTGGCCCTAAAAGAGGAAGCAGCAGAAAACCGTACTGAAGGGTTTCTCACTTCAATTTAAATCACCAAGAAATCAATAAAATCTTAGTTTGCTGGTTGTTGAACAAAATTAGTTACTCAAACATTGGTTCTAACTATATTTTTTTTAAAATCATTTTAACTAAGAGGACAATGGATATATTTTAAAAATTATATAAGATACCAATAATATTATGATCCTATCAATAATAGAAATTATATGTTGTCAGAAGCTTTTATATTGATGTTAGCTCTAAGCTTTCTGGTACCAAAGCAGTATTTTTCAGTAGCAATAAAAATACATAGTGTTTTATATTCATAATATAAGCTGCTTAAAATTTTTCAAAATAATTTTGAAAGCGGGTTAATTAACCTAGTCTAAATTTATGTAGCGAAATAGAATGAAAATTTATTACTTTCTCACTGCTGCTTTTCTGTATGGATAATTCTTCAACAGAAGCATTCTATTTTTTTAAGATGAGAAAAAATAAATACTGGTGTACTTTCATTTAATCTCATATTACATGATCACTCAGTTGTACTTCTGCTTAGAATACAAATCAAATGGCGCTTGGAGAAATGAAGCCATGTGAATGTGACTTTGAGTGTAGAGAGTTGAGTTGCTCAGGGAAGCCCATCCCATGGAAGATGAATGTGTACAATTTTGAGAGTTAAGTAACTCCTACTGTGTGACTCTGCCATGTGACTGATTAGCAGCACCAGAGCATTGTATGTATATCTTATTCTAGTCAGTCTCTACACCTGGGGTCAAATCTGATTGCCATACTCTGCTCTAATAGATGTGACCATTTTGGAAATATTTCCGAGCCTCAGTTTTTTCATCTATAAAATGGTTCCATTAGATGAACCCCAAGCTTCCTTGTAGCTCCAGCATTCTGTATTACTTAAGTTTTGAGTTTATAACATTTATAGATCTTTAATTTGAGACACCCAAATTTCCTTCCAGTTATAACCATATTACAGAATATGTTCATAAAACATATAGCATGTCATGGGGATTTTCATTTCTTCATTGCTTTGCAATTAGTGGGTTCTGAAACCAGATTACTGTTACATCTTGTTTTTTGCACATTTTGTGCACTAGTGTTTGAAGGACATTTTTTGCCACTACAACAACAGTAATGACTTAGAAGTATAATTTCTCGCCACCATCCAAAGCATCCTGTGGGGTGTAGGATGACAGGATCTCAGGGAGCGAGGATTTCATGTAAACGGGTATCATATTATTCACACAGTGGCATTAAGGAGGAGCCAGCATTTTAAAATTTCTAAGGACCTAAGAATTCCAGTTTTGATGTTTATAGTTAATAGGTCTCTCTGGGTCCATTGCTTTGCCCCTTTCTCTCTTGTACCTTAAAAGACTTAGAAGCAGTCACTGGAAGATCCTTGAGTTCTTAGTTTAGTTTTAATGCTGGAAGGCAGAAAAATACCAGGAGCAACTGCAGTTTTCAACAGATACTCAAAGGGCCTCTTCTCACAGTTTTGTACCTGAACCTTTCATTCTCTGAGAGTATGTTTTCCTATGAACATTGTGTACATTTCAGTCAGGATATGGATTCAACAGTGTGAAGAAACTTTGATTCAGTGCCAAGCACTGCCAGATATTTCATATACAGTCGTCCTTACATATCCATGAATTCAATAAACCACAGATGGAAAATATTTGGGGGGAAAAACAATTAAAAATAATATAAATAGAAAACAACACAGTCTAACAACTATTTACATAGTACTTGTATTTTATTAGGTATTATAAGTAATCTAGAGATGATTTAAAGTATATGGGAGGATGTGCATAGGTTATAGGCAAATGCTACACTATTTCATACAAGGGACCTGAGCATCTATGAATTTTGTTATCCACGTGAAGTCCTGGAACCAGTCCCCCATGGGAACCAAGGGACCACTGTTTACATCATCACTCAAATTAATTGATGTCAGTGTTGGTTTCTGATGAGCAGCAACTCAGCACAGAGTTGGTGTTGTTAAAAACAAACGCTTGAAATGGTTTAAATGTTGGCCTCTGAAGTGGCACCTTGTAGCATGTTGATGTTTTATACAACACTTCATTTCAGATTAGTGAGTTGGTTTGTGCATAAGGCTAATTGTACTATGTTACCTGACATGACTGGACCTGTCCCAAATTATTACCAATAGTGGGAGAAAAATAGCCCAAAATGCTTACCCTACACTACTAAAGAAGGATCATTGGGTTCTTGTTTGCGTTTAATTGAAGCATCTCATACCCCCTTATTGAAATGTATAACTTCTTACATTTTTTAAATATATTTGTAGTTATTTCTAGCATCCTCAAGAAATACATGAGGATTTTGATTCTGATTTTACAGAAAAAGAAACTGAAGTTCAGTATTTGTCATTAGGGCTTAACGTAAATAAAACTCATTCTGTTTCTGACTTTTCAGATCTTAATTAAATAAAATACCATTTTGTTTGGCAGACATAAGGATTTTTTTTTTTTTTACAAAGTTGTAATTTTCAGCATTCTGATAACTTTCTAATACCCACAATGATTTATTACCCAGAATGTCTTGACTTTGAATGTTAGGTAACAAAAGATTAGTAGACATTCAGTAAGTATTAGTTGAATTGACTTGGATGACCATTGTCTTTCAAGAGAATAGTTTTCCTAAGTTTGTTAATAGTGCTATATTTATACTGATTTTAAAAACTTTTCTTTATATGTTATTAATATGAGTATTATTAACCTTGCAGAATGGTCGATGTAGGGGGCCAAAGGTCAGAGAGAAGAAAATGGATACACTGCTTTGAAAATGTCACCTCTATCATGTTTCTAGTAGCGCTTAGTGAATATGATCAAGTTCTCGTGGAGTCAGACAATGAGGTAAGTGCCCTTTGGACAGGCAATGGATTATCATTTTATTATCTAATACAAATAAATGATAAGAAGTAAGTGTAGGAAATGGGGTGAACTGGCTTCATTGCTTTCTTGACAGTTGATTTTAGGATTTTTAAAATAACCAAAAATAACCCTGTGGAAACACATGGTGCATACAGAGTGGTAAGCTCTTGTGTCAGGTGTATGAACAGGTCTGTGTGTTCAGATCCAGTTATATCCTATTTGATACTTTTAACACTGTGCAGCTGTTCTGAAAATGAAAATAACATGGAAATCCCTAGGCTAATCATCACATCATTCTTCTTCCTACAGGATAGAATCAGGAGTGTTGGAGTGAGTCAGTGTGTTTTACTTTGTTTTCATTTTGTTGAAAACCATTGTGTGATGGGTGGGTCCCAAGAGCACTTGAACCTTCTCTTGGGAAATGCGAATAACTTTGCAGCTGGGCTCTAAATCAGTTCATTGAGGAGCCGTGAAGTTTCTTGGTGATGCGGCCTGTCTGCTCTTAACTATTCTATAGGCTGTGTGTAATTTTGTTTCTACTGAGCAGTTAGTGATTGAAGAAGTGTCTTTTATGTACCGGTCTGGAAAACTGACTCAGTATTGTGATGTTCTCCCCATTACAGGGAAACTTTACAGGGGTAAATATGGATTTTGAGAATGGCAAAGGCTTGATGATGAGTCAGAGTTGATTATGGAGGATAATTAAGGGGTGTAGAAAACTGTGCCTTTGAGCTGGAGTTCAGTGTGTGTGTGTGTGTGTGTGTGTGTGTGTGTGTGTGTGTGTGTGTGTGTGTGTGGGGGGAATGGCAAAGATGCCATTGATATTCTGTTAGAGGCAGAGATTGCAGACTGATATGCCAACAATAAGTATTAAGTATCCTCCCAATAGGGTAGAAAATAAAGAGAAGAAAGTGAGATGTCCCCAATAGCTGATTAAAATAAGATCTGGCATATTAAAATGTACTTTTAATACTGCACATTTTTTTAGGTGCACAAGAATTCCTGGTTTCTTGGTCCTTTTAAATATTTTATTTTATTTTTCTGTAGTTATTAATATCTTCATCAATACCTATCCAATCATACATACGTGTCCAATCCTCCATAGCGTTTCTTTTGTTTGTAGGTAGGGTTGATAAAGTTTCCATGAACCAATATCTCACATAGAGATGAGAGTTACCTATTCATGCATTTCATAATCTTTCCTGGGTTGCGAGTATATGGGCTTTTGACTCAACCAAAGTGCTTCTTTTTAAGAATGAGTCTTGTGTATCAGCCAGTTGTCCCCTGTAGCCGTAAAGCAAAGTGCCTAAAAGCATACGTATATGACAATCAGAGATCAAAACATATTAGGTAAATGCTATCCGAATTTTAGCTATGACGTCTCTATATGTATATCTGCTTTTATCTATGTCTGTGCCCATTTGTTGTTCCATAATCCTTGGATGTAATATTTTGAAAATATTACATATTTTGGAAGCAGACCTATTACAACATTTCTGATTTCTTTGAATGTTAGATCAAAACAAAAAATATTTTGAGGACTTGCCTACTATGTGTTGGGTACCAGGGTATCTAAGGAGATACAAAAATGAAAAAAAAAAAATCAACTTTCCTCTAAAGGACCTTACAAAAGAGATATGCTTTTAGTCAGATTAAGGCATATGGAGGAAGGAAAGCCTTTGTTATGGAGGTCATCGTTTCATCGTTTTTGTTCTTTAGTTTGATATCCAGTAAAATAAAATTTACATTTATCAACTACACAGAAGACATAAGAAACATATGTAATTTTATTTTTTTACATTTACATTATAGCTAGAGGAAGATAAGTATTTATCAATACACATTTTATATGAGATAAATGCATTGTATCTGTAAAGAAATATGTGTTGTGATTTAATGATAATCAATTTACCACTTTAAAACTACCAAAATAAAAGTGGATTCCTTAGGCAAGACATCAGCTAATTCTAGCACATAAATTTATGTCTCAATTTTCTGGACATTATAGATCATTTATTTCATTTTTCACCTGACATTGCTAATAGAGCTTAGATTTTGATATAAAAGTATATTGTATTAATTAGAATAAAATGAGATTGTTTTGATTATCAGATGTCATAATTAAAATTTCCACAGTAACTTGCCATTCAATGTGTAGGTGCTGTAAAGTACATCTAAAAATGTTGTCTCAGTTCCTTTGATTCCTACAGTGTTGGTGGTGCATTATGCTACTTTCAGATAATTAGAGACTAAAACAATATAGCTATCTTATTTTTATTAGATCTCCCTAATCACTTGTGAATAGTTTGAAAACCTCGGTTGTAATTCTGTGAAACAAAAAGCCAAGTTGTATGGTATTCTTTTCTCAGTGCTCATGTCAAGCCTGATGGTAGTATTGGGGACAATCTTAAGCATAATAAGAAAAATGTTGCTCATTAATTACTTCATCATGTTAGCCACAGCCGTCATTGTGTAGGAAACACTGTCAAAAACAGTTTTTAATGTTGCCATGTAGTCGTATTGTCTTTTTCAGTTATACTGATATATGAAAATGTCATTGCCTCTCCAACTTCTTAAATCCTTAAGGAAATTCAGAACTATAGAATTCTAGTTTCCCCAGAATTTCTGTTTTTGGTGAGACAACTGAAATAAACTCCTGAAACATTTTGTTGTTGGTTTTGAAATCCAATGTTGGTAACTTTAATCCAAAGCAGACTTTGTTGTGCCTCCCTTGGTGTGTATTTGTGAGATCAACTTTGGAGTGGATTCTAGTGGATTCTCCCAGCCTTCCTTCCTGTGCCAGGGTCCTGTGGAAATGCATCGCAGAGCACAGGCCAGAGTAGCTGAGGGAAGTACGTTAGATGGTTCCGTTTGCTCTTGCTTTTAGTATTTCTAAAACTTTGTGTTAGCCTTCATAATTTTATGTATGTCAGCTTTTGTCTGTCCAGATTTTAAGCCTTCCTATCGTTGGGGGAATGGATTTCTTTCTTTTTTTTTCTCCAAAGAAGGAAATATATTTTCAAATAGTGGGCTGGAATACTCAGGGTTGCAGAGCTGCATTGATTCAAGTGTTTCTTATTTTCCCTGTGATGGCGCACCAGCACGGAGCCAACGGTTCTGCTGTAATCCTTCCATGAGTGCATTATTTCAGTGCCCCAAAAGCCCAGAGCATACAATAAGGCATCCACATGACATATTTCTGTTTGTCAATGAGTATCCAAATGCTGCCTTTTAGTCTTTTTATTTTTTTTTGGTTCTCTGTTTCATGGATATCTGAGCACTGTTATAAAGATGCTTTCTTAGACATGGTCACGGTACCTCTCCCCCAAACTAAGCTCTTTGTAGAATCTCAAAGACTAAGACCTTTTTCTCCTCCTCTTCCTTTTTGAATGAAGCCATTTTGAAATTATTCTAATTTATTAATCCCCTTGAAATGATCACGACAAATTGTGTTATAGTTTTATTAAAATGTCAAGATAGTTCTCTCTACCCTGGGCCCTCCTTCAACCAAGATGGATTTCCCAACATTGGTTCCTAAAAGCATTTATCTTTCAATCCTGATTCTTGTAGTTGCTCAATTGATTTAAAAAGAAAACATAAACGGAGAGAGTAGACATTTGTAATACCTTTGAACTTTATACCTGTCCAAAACTTGCTAAAAACATATTTGAATCTACCAGCTGACTTCCCTGTGAAAGGGGCAGATCAGGTTTGCTGGTGTGTGTTATAATGATGAGGATTGAAGAAAGGAGAGATTAAGGCCTATGGCCTTCTGGATCAGCTTTCTTTCCCCTCCCTCATTGTACTTCTGGAAGTTAGAGACAAACTCAGAGAAAAAGCAAGAGAAACTGTACAGTAGCCAAGAGCATAGAAATAGAATGAAAATCCTGCCCTTTCAAGGAGGAATTGAAGTACCTCTACCTCTAAGCTCTTCTACTTGAAGATAACAGACCAGCCAGAGGTCCTTTACAAGTAATTTAGAGTTCCTGTATTGCTCATTTGACTTTGAACTATCTTAAAACAAATAGTCTAAAATGTGCATTTCCTTTGAATACTTTTCCTCTACTAGGTTTTAAAAGAGTAGAACTGTGGATACTAGAAAAGGCGAAGGGGGAGAGGGAATAGCGAGAGGTTGATTAATGGACACAAAATAGCTAGATAGGAAAGTTAAGTTCTGTTAGTGTACAGTCAAACTAGGCATCTATAATTAAAAGACGTTTACTGTGTGTTATCAAATGGCTAAAAGAGATATCGAATGTCTTCATCACGAAGAAATGATTAAGTTTTGCAATGATCAATATGCTAATTACCCCGATTTGATCATCACACATTGTATACATGTATTGAAATATAACTCTGTACTCCACAAATATGTGTAATGAATACATTTCAATAAAAAAGAAGCCATTTTGAAATGATTCAACTGCAACCAAAGTCTGAACATTTTCTTTAAAACTTAGTATGAAACATGTACGTTGTTCTAAAAACTGAGCTTTTTGGAATTTTCTTCAGATAACATTCAACTTTGGGGGGATAACTGGCCAAAAATTGAGGAGAAAAAAATTCAAACTCCAAAAGAACAGTCTGAAGGAAACTTCCAACGTAAGAGCTTAGGTTAAGATATCCGGTCTCTGCTCTTTAATTGGATTGCCTCAAGGCCTCCTTTATAGACTCTTAATCAAATTATGCCTTTAGTACACTTGGCTCAGATTCATGGCCTGATTAACAAGGCTGTTTCTGAAAGATGCCCAACATTTTTATATTTAATCCCTTTCCCATCTCCTCATTCCTTTGTTCATTTTCAGCCACTTGTTCCTGTTTTAAACTTTTCCCGCTCCTTGCATTGTCTGGCTTTTCTCTTTGCTTGTTACTGTACTTCTGCATCACTGTTGTCTTTGTTTCTCATGTGCTAAAGGCAAGTTTTCTGATCACCATTCATGAATTTGAACCAGAGACCTGGACTTAGTGCTGCTAAGGGTATA